AGAGTCACTAGCAGTGCCACTAGCTACTATCATAATTCTTTGAGAGGTAGTTAAACAGCATTTCTAACACTTTACACTGGTAGCAGGCAATTCAACTTTAACTGGATTGCCTAAACATAGGAGGCACTTACGTCATAACCTCTGAGCACAGCCAGGTGGAACGAAAGCAGTTGGAGAGGAATAACACTGAGGATTCCTTGAAGGCAGTCAACTGTATGAGGCAGCTCAATTGTTTTGTAGGCAAACTTTGAGCTTTCTGTGTCTTCTTTAGAACACAGAATAATTGGGCGACCCTGAAAGCAAGGTTTTAAAGCGTTACTAAAGATGTGGGTAGAACTGCTTTGAGATACTAGTTCCCAGCATGTCTGTAGCATGTTTGAAGACACTCAGTAGCTCACTAGAACAATCAGTCTTGCACAACAGTGTGAGTGACAAAAGCCATTATGTAAATGAGAATTTAATGTTTTCATCCTGTTGAGTCTTAACATTATTCCATTTGCTTCAAAACAAAAACCCAGCCACATGCTGCAGATTTTCCATTAATGACAAGTTATGATGCAGATACACTCACGTGCAACTTTTAACTAAAAATGTCCTATTTCTGAGGCATAATCATCAGCACTACACTTCAATTTGCACTTCTTTTTCCCAGTGACATTGCTTAAGTAAACAACTTACCTGTCGCGCAGTGATCTGTTGCAGAGCATTCTGGCATTTGGTGAAGCAAGGATCCTTCATTATCACCATGATAACAGGCATCTGTTTATCTATTAGGGCTAGTGGCCCATGTTTCAGCTCACCAGCTAAGATGCCTTCCGAATGCATATAGGTGATTTCTTTGATTTTCTAAAAAGAAAGATCCAGCAAGTTACTAAGAGATCAAATGAGGAACAAAGGCCACAAGAGCAACAAAGCATCAAGGCTACACATCTGCTACTTAAAGCAGACAAAGCAGAGTTTGCCCAGGTACTTGAATTTACAGATAAGCAAGAATGGGAGTAACCAAACTTTACAAACCAAACACCCAGCACAAACTTCAGTGACAAACACAAACTACTTTTAGCTTTTCCATCTTCTGTGAGACATGCCTAACATGAGACATGCATAACAAACATCCTTGCAAAAGATAGTTATCCAACTTAGCAGTTCCTTGCATGAGCATCTCATCTGAACACCAGTTCACTGTTTTATGATACTGTTTTCAGACAGTGCAGCATTTTAAGGTTTTGTTTTTCTTTAAATGCACTTAAACACTGCATTTGTTATAGGAAAGAAACAAAGACTGATAGTGTCTGCAGATTCAGCCGATATGTGTGTTCAATCCAAGAGGACTAACTGCTCTAAGTTATAGAAAGAAACTTTATTGCAGCAGAATTAAGTATGAGAAATAAACTACATTGGAGAAAGCACAAAAGCTGATTTTAAATAATGTTCAAGGATTTCAAAAGGTTCATACCAGAGCTCCTTCTAGACAAGTGGCATAATTATATCCACGACCCATAACCAGCAATGATCTCTGCTTGTACAGTTCAAGAGCCAAATCATGTATCTTCTCATCCAGGGACAAGACTTCTTTAATCATCTCTATCAGATCACATAAAAAGTACATATCAAAAATTTTATCAATTGGATGAAATAGTAATTATTAAATTGCTTGTTCAGTGATCTACTATGGCAAATATGTATAGCATAATTTAGCAGATAAAGTCAAAGTTGCAAAAATAAAGTATGTTGTGTCCAGCCTCATT